AGATCCAAGATCCTAGACTCAAGGACACGGTACTCAAATGAATGATATAGTATTGAATAGTAAGAGTGAAAACACGTATAAAAATACAAAAATTATTTTTTACAGTTTAAGTCCTGGTGTGGAAAATTTCAATTTCATGCGTTGCCTGCTACACCCTCTACTGTTGCAGTTTATTTATCTTACTTAATACAAAAGCAATCCTCAGTTGCAGTCATTAATGCGGCATATTATAGTATTCAATGGACACATCATATTAATCTTTGTAATAATCCTTGTTCAGGCAGTCTTGTACATTTGATTTTAGAAGGAGGGAAGAGACTGTTATCAAAACCTGTAGTTAAGAAGAAGCCTATTACACCTGAAATTTTAGGTAAAATTATGGATAAATTTCCGCAGTTAGAAAATCTATATCATTCAAGACTGGTATGTATGTTGTTAATAGGTTACGCTGGTTTTTTAAGATATGATGAACTTGTTCACATTAGAATGTGTGACATAAATTTTCATGAATCAGGTTCACATGTTGAAATAAGAGTTGAAAAAAGCAAAACGGATATTTTCAGACAAGGTAATATTGTTGTTATTGCGAGAACAAGTAACAAGCTTTGTCCAGTTTCTTATCTTGAAAAATACATATCATTTGCTGGTCTTGTTTTTCAGTCTAATGAGTTTATTTTTAGAGCGGTTACCTTTTTCAAAAAGGACAATGTTTACAAGTTATGTAAATCAAATAAACCTTTGACTTATACTAGAGCTAGAGAGCTTCTTTTAGATGCTCTTAAAAGTGTCTGTGTGGATTTCAAAGAGTACGGTTTACATAGTTTAAGAAGTGGGGGAGCAACTGCAGCAGCTAATAATAATATTCCAGATAGACTTTTTAAGGCTCACGGCAGATGGCGTTCGGAGAACGCAAAAGATGGATATGTTTCGGATAGCTTAAACAATAAACTTGCTGTTACTTTGAATCTTGGATTATGATGTCTTTAATTTCTTTTGCAGGTTAATATATTCAAAACCTTTGTTGTCGAACTGGTTGATAGGCGCTCAACACATTCTATATTCTGTTGTTTATTCTCTAAGATACTTAGAATAGAAATATTTTATGTTCGGATGAGTGAAACGAAGGAGAACATAAATCAATTTCTATTAGTTGTATTTGTTTGAATTATTTTAATACGCGCAAGTACATTGAAGGGTGGTTGTTAGGTCATAGTATATATGGTGTTGGTCAGGTGTGAACTGGTCATCGACGAGCATTTAATCAACCAGTTTCGAACACGTTTTTTTTTTTTTTTTGAATTATTGATAAAATGATGTATAATTATGACATGCTACATTGTATTTTGTAGATTGAAATTGGATATACTTGGGCTCTACATCCAGTGCATCGCTAATTAAATTCGCGTGTTTATGTACATATATGGCGAATAAACTGGTTGATAGGCGCTCAACACATTCTATATTCTGTGTTCTGTTGTTTATTCTCTAAGATACTTAGAATAGAAATATTTTATGTTCGGATGAGTGAAACGAAGGAGAACATAAATAGTTTTCAATAAATAAAAACAAGAGAGATAATCCGAGGTATTAGAGAGGTACCAAAGAGGGAATTTCGTTGCAAGTGTACATAGTTTTTTCTAAACATTTCAACTCGCGTGGGTTTGCTCCCCGATTATTAAAAGAATATAGTTTATTTGACAACAGCTCAAAACACGTTTTAGTTGTTATTAGATTTTTTTTTAAATAAATATTTTTGTACTGTTTTGGAGCAATCCTCTAGAAAAAAAAAAGAAGAAGAAAAAGCAAAATAAAACTAATACTCTCCATTTTTTTTTTTAAATTTTTTTTTAACAATCTTTATTTAATTTAAAAAAAAAAGCCCGAATCTTAAAAAGTTAATAATCATTAATTTCAGCACATTTAAAATGTTTACTTTATTTGTTTCTTAGTCAGTTTGGTCGTGTTATGTTTTTGATTTTGTTTTGACTGAATATTTTTGTTTCTCACATCCACTTTCGATATTGTTTTAAGCATTTAAATGTAACAAAAACTGCCATACTGCCATACGAAATAAAATATTACTTTAAAGAAGTCTATGTTTTAAAATTGATATGAGAGATCTAAAGAAAGAGAGAGAAAAGGGGGTTACATTGGACCCAATTTATTACATGTAATATATGTATAAAGAAATGTGAAACTTTGGTGAGAAGATGGATTTTCAAAACAATTTAATTAACAAAACATGAAATGAAATCCCTGTTTTCTAAACTATGCCTATAAATTTTCAGGAACTCAAAAATTTAATTCTTTGGTACTCGTTTAATGCGTTTATATGAAGGTCAAAGGTTTAAGTATCATCTGCATTTTTTTTTCACTGTAGTCAATATGATCTTTGTTATTCATAATATCTACGCAGTATAAGTCTTTACAGTCATATCATTACACGTAATATTGCTTAGTATTGCTTAACTTGCCTTAGAATTATGTAAACGTATTTTTTTATTCTTAATTTATATGTAAAATAATGCTTTTAAATTATATTAGTTTAATTCAGGTTTTATTTTTGTGCATGTAATAAAATACTACAAATATACTGCACAAAACATGAACATTATGTTTGCAAGGTTTTTATTTTGGTGGCAGACATGGGGGATGGGGACATTTTGTATTACGGGGACTTAACTCTGACAGATGTAAAACTTTACAATGCTAAGCATATCCATGTCTCTGGCATGGGGCCAGACTGAAATTCTTTAAAACTTCATTTGGATTGATAACAGATTGTTTTATTTATAAAGCTTCGTCATAACTCACATCAGAATTTCATATGAGAAAGAAACTGAAGGGGGGGGGGGGGGTTGAAATTCTGAAACCATCAATTAATAACAAATATACCTCCATGTACCACTTTGCAAAAATCCGTCATTTCAAAACTCGTCCTTTGAGTCTGGAAATATTACGTACATGTAACAGACACACTTAACTAGACATGCACATTACAAGTCTGATTTCCAATTGAATATAATTAAAATTAAACTATAAATTACACAGCGTGTTTCATTAAAACAACTTATATTCAATTTTTTCTGACTTATTTTTTGGATAATTTATTCGATTTAAGTAAATGAATAGATCGACAAATCGATTTAACAGTTGAACGAAATTCGGATTAATTCGTTTAAAATGATAAAGAAAATATCCTGAATCGATTATTTGTCTACTTCTAAATCATTTTCATTTTCGCAAAGTGAAATTCAATTGTTATTCTTCGGTGCTATTTCACTCATTGATAATAGTCAAGTTTCTACCTCCGGGCATGTGGAGTCCGGTCAATGATCGCTGATTTTTCATGAAAATGACAATGTTTATACATGTAATTATATGAAGAGAGATAAAGGTGCAAAAATAAATTGAAGAATAATTTCCCATTATTATTTTTAAACTAACTAGGTGGTTTAAATCGCTGTGTGTGTGTGTGGGGGGGGGGGGGGGTAGGCTTGCGCACCTTAAGAAAGCTTTTGAAAAAAGCTATTAAGCTCATATAAACTATAAGTATGCCATTAAACTTTTTAACTCCAACCAAACCACCCCACCCCATCCTCAAATAATCAAGTTATCACCACCGGAAATCCTGGAATTGCCCCTTAGTTTATTCATGCATGTGAACTGTAACTCATATAGTCTGTTAGTCTGTTTTACAAGTAAATAATCAAAAAATGTTCAATGCTGGAATTGAAAAAAGGGATATTAAAACAATGATTATTTTATTACCTTATGCAAGACAGAATTCCTTCCGAGTCTTTGTTTGAAAAGATTTTGTAGAATATTGCTTAACATGCAATGTATCTACAGCGTATCGACTAAATGTTCAAGTTAAATTGTTGAATATTTGTAAATAATTACATTTCACATTTTCTGTCTTTATCATGTTTATATTTATAGATAAAGAAAAAGCCAAATATATTTTACACTACCGGGTAGCTTCTAGATTACTATTGTTCCCAAAGACATTTGTTTATTTTCACCTTTGGGAAGATATATCAGATTTACTTATTTCACATGGCCGTTGGAAAGGGGGGTCGGGGGGGGGGGGGGGTGGCGTGCTGAATATAGAATACTATAGAAAACATAGATACCAGTTGTGTTCCCTCAATAATAATGCCTGATGACCCCCCCTTATTTTTTGCTTGTCAAGGAATTTTTGGTAGTTGACAGCCCCCCCCCCCAATGAGAATGTATTGTATGTGCCCCCCCCCCCCAATGAGAATGTATTGTATGTGCCCCCCCCAACTGAAATTGCTTCCTACGGGCTTGTTTCAAACAACAAAAAATTGACATCTTGCCCCATCGAGAGCCATATTTGAAATAAAATGACTTTCGAGTTAATCCTGTTTCTCCTATTTTCTATATATTTCCGAAACAATTCTTGTTGAGAAGTCACACGCTTCTGAGGAGACTAAATTTCCTGTCGTCCCAACATAAACGAAGTGTACAACAAACAACTCAAACATTCACATAATTCTATACCGTTGATGGAACTACTTATAACAACTATTTATAAATTTACAAGACAATGAATTAAAAAAAATGATTCTATACATACATATATTAGTAACGTTACAATAAAAAAAAATCATAGTCACGTTCACTCTGAAAACGTTTGAGGTTTGTTGACGTTGGTGCAAAAGAAACATGACGTCATGATTTCACTGTTGAAGTATCATTGATATAAATGAGGAAATAACATACTTAGAATTGACGTAGGACCATAAAAATTCAGATTTGACAACTCCTAACCTTGCTCTATCAAAATCCATGAAAAACTCAAAATGTGTAAAAAAAAATTGCCATAAGCACCGTTTCCTCATATATTCCTTATATATATATATATATATATATATATATATTTCTAAATATTCTGGCATTATTTTATTACAGAGTGTGATGCCGGGTTTTACGGAGAAAATTGTCTGAAAACTTGTAGCAGTCATTGTAAAAACATGACCTGTGATAAGGGCAATGGAAGATGTTTAGCTGGATGTGAGCCTTCATATTATGGCGATAGATGTGATCAAGGTAAAAAAATACGAACTGTCTATAATTTCTCGTTTTTACCACAATTATCGTAAAATATAATGGTGTAGTACATATGCCTTATATTAATGTAGACTTTAAAAAGTATTATAATTACATTTTTGGCTCACCTGAGCCGAAGGCTCAAGTGAGCTTTTCTGATCACTTTTTGTCCGACGTCCGTCTGTCTGTCTGTCCGTCTGTCTGTCTGTCTGTAAACTTTTAACATTTTCGACTTCTTCTCAAGAACCACTGGGCCAATTTTAACCAAACTTGCCACAAAGTATCCTTGGGTGAAGGGGATTCAAGTTTGTTCAAATGAAGGGCCACGCCCTCTTTCAAGGGGAGATAATAATTAGTAAAAAATGAATTGCATCTTTAAAAAATCTTCTTCTCAAGAACCACAGGGCTCAAGTGGGAGCATCCTCAGGTAGTGTAGATTCAAGTTTGTTCAAATCATGACCCCCGGGGGTAGGGTGGGGTCACAATGAGGGATCAAAGTTTTACATAGAAATATACAGAAAAAATCTTTAAAAATCTTCTTCTCAATAACAGCAAAGCCATGATGAGTCATATTTATATGGAAGCATTCTCAGGTAGTGTAGATTCAAGTTTGTTCAAATCATGACCCTCGGGGGTAGGGTGGGGCCACAATGGAGGATCAAAGTTTTACATAGAAATATATAGGAAAAATCTTTAAAAATCTTCTTCTCAATAACAGCAAAGCCATGATGAGTCATATTTATATGGAAGCATTCTCAGATAGTGTAGATTCGAGTTTGTTCAAATCATGACCCCTGGGGGTAGGGCGGGGCCACAGTGGAGGATGAAAGATTTACATAGAAATATACTGGGAAAATCTTTAAAAATCTTCTTCTCAAGAACAGAAAAGCCATGATGAGTCATATTTATATGAACAGAAAGAAAAGCCATGATGAGTCATATTTATATGAAAGCATCTTCAGGTAGTGTAGACTCAGGTTTGTTCAAATCATAACCCCGGGGGTAGGGCGGGCCACAATGGAGGATCAAAGTTTTACAAAAAAATATGTAGGAAAAATCTTTAAAAATCTTCTTCTTAAGAACAGCAAAGCCATGATGAGTCATATTTATATGGAAACATCCTTAGGTAGTGTAGATTCAAATTGTTCAAATCATGACCCCCGGGGGTAGGGCGGAGCCACAATGGAGGATCAAAGCTTTACATAGAAATATATAGGAAATAATCTTTAAAAATCTTCTTCTCAAGAACAGCAAAGCCATGATGAGTCATATTTATATGGAAGCATCCTCAGGTAGTGTAGATTCAAGTTTGTTCAAATCATGACCCGCGGGGATAGGGCGGGGCCACAATGGACTATCAACGTTTTACTTAGAAATATAAAGGAAAAATCTTTAAAAATCTAGAAATATATAGGAAAATTTCTTCTTCTAAAGAACTGCAAAGCCATGAATAGTCATTTTGATATGGATGCATCCTCGGGTAATGTAGATTCAAGTTTGTTAAAATGATGGCCCCCGGGGATATGGTTGAGCTACAATGGGGATCGAAAATTTTACATAGGAACATATAGGAAAATATCTTCTTCTCAAGAACTGAAAATCATGTTTTAATTAGTCATTTTGATATGGAAGCATCCCCAGGTAATGTAAATTCAATTTTGTTCAAATGATGACCCCTGGGATAGGGAGGAGACACAATGGGGGATCAAATTTTTACAAAGGAATATATGGGAAATTTTTTTAAAAAATTATCTCAAGTACTACAAAGCCATTTGTTATATTGACATGAAAGCATCATCATATAGTTAAAAATTCCCCTCCCCCCCCCCCGTAGTCTTTTTCATACTGAACTGATTTGTGCTTTTGCCTAGCCAATGTGCTCAGGTGAGCGATGTGGCCCATGGGCCTCTTGTTCATTTCAAGGTGGAGAAAAATGTACAATAGTTTCATTTGCAAAGGAATATCACACAGTGAGTGCTATTTTTGGAGTTTACATCGTCGTTACAATTGTCATGTTTGCTGTATTTATTTTAAGGTACTTAGAGTTTACACTTCTTTCTTAAAATTTGCTAGATTTATTCAGTCCATTTTAACTAACAATGCTAGGCGCTGAATCAGTTTTATTCGCTGGATTTAATGTTTGTGGCAAATTAAAATTTTTACCGGATGGCGTTGATGTAATTTCATGGGTAAAACTTACCAATAAAAAGTTCAATGAACATATTCATTTGCAAAATTATTGTTGGGGATTAAAAAATGCATATAATAAGACCAATGAAAAATACAAACATTGGTCTACCTCGAACAATGATTATTCACAGAAAATGTAAAAAGTACTATTATACCATCATTAGAATAAGTGACTTTTCCGAAGAACTAGTGGATGCATTTTCATTATTACAAAAAATAACAAGTTTATTGAATTAGGTAAAGTAGGGGAAAAATTGAATCCTTAACCATCGCTTTTTCTTCGGTATCATACTCATTAATTCTATATTATTTATATTGACATATTGTATATCCATGAAGTTATTTTCAAGAAGTTTTGCAAGTAAAACTGATTATTCCCTTTGTGGAAATGTTAATCTTTGCAAATGGACTAATCATTTGTTTCTTTTATGCAGAACGCATACTTTCAGCACATGTATAAAGGTCAACGATAAAAACATATCAATACAAATGGACGAAAAAGATGAGGGGAAATCAAATGCAACTGCAGAAAAAGACAGAGCTTTATATCAAGAACTGGGCGTGTTTGAAAACAAGAGTATATATCAGGAAATACATGTTAAGGTTAACGCTTATCAAAATCTTGATTTAGTCACAAATTAGAAAAATGTAGTAGATGACATGAAAATGGTTGTTAAAATTGAAAGTAAAAACTAGTATGTTTTTTTATTCTTTCGTGAGTAAATAACACAATATTTTTAAGCACATTCAAATTAAAAAAAAATATTTCGACTACGTGATGCATATAAAAACAATATTTTTGTTAACAAGCCTTTTGCTGCCTGAACTGGAATTACTCAATCATAGTGTTTACGGTATTTACAATGTGTGGAAATTAATGTTCTAAACAAGAATGTTGCAAATTTATCATAAATTAAACATTTCATAAATGCATCCTGAAAGATTATGTTAAGACTTTTTCTGCTGCATTTTGTTGTATTCGTTTCAAAACTTCAAGAGCGGTTCAACTATTTCATCAGAACTCTAGTTTTCATTAACCAAAAAAGTCTATTAATTTGCTTTTCTTAGATATTGGTGCCTTAAACTTGTCATGTATATGGAATTTGATGTGCTTATATTAAAGTTATATATTAACAAAATTTTTAATAGTGAGATATTGTAATACATTTGATAAATAAAACCTACATTTTAAAAGGTGTTTCAGTAAATACGCGTCGTAAGTACATGTACTTTACAGTGTGAGAAAAAGTGTTAACACAGATCGAGTGAAAATAAGTATAATTTGAAATATGTCAAATGCAGGGTACAGCAGTAGTACTCGTTCAGTGTTATCAATCTCCATCAATGTAAAATTTATTCTCTCTTTCAACATGATGTGTTCTATATTTTTTCCCATCATTCTTATGAGTTCATGTTCACGACGCAGTATTGTGCTGAATTTCAAATAAGACACAGCTTAAAGGGACAAACAAAAAACAGAGGGCATTGCTTCAACTCGTGAAATTTTAAAAGAAAAATAGCCCTTAACTAATAAAATAACTTCATATACTAAGTAGCAAATTCTTTATTTGTCCCCTGTTATTATTTATTTCCTGATTCATACTCTTTATAGGCAAACGATCGCAAATATTTGTAGTTAACAATATTCTGCAAAAATAAACTCAAGAAAGCCTGCATCTTGATGTCCTTTATCCTTTCTTAATCTAGCCAATTGAAAGGTTGAATTAAAGAATTAACGACAGACTATATGATTTCTTTCAACCAACAGTATTTAATAATGATTGTGTATTGTGAAATCAAGACAGTTCGAGTTTTAGACAGAGTTAAGTTTAAAAGTATAAATTGCCATATATGTTGCAATATATGTTTGTCATAAAAATAAAAGAATATATTCTGTTGTTGTTGCTGTGAAGCCCTCCCCCTTTCCAAAATTGATTTATACACATATTTATTTTTGTTAAACATTAACAAAATAATAATATTTTCGATTTTTTTTAATCACATGGTTATATAATCCACATTAATTTATAAGGACTAGCAAAAAAAATTGGCAATTGATATCAGAATATTTATTTTTAAAAAACATTATTCTCAAATATATGTTTGTACATCTAACTAAAAGGTTTTAAATGTTTTTAAAACATTTTTCACTCATTTCAGTCAAAATGTTTAGCAGATATACTAGTAAATGGAACATTTGCCATTCTTTCAACTCAATTTCTTTTTAGAAAATAAAGTTTGAAAAAAAATTAAGTTTTTTTTTCAAAGATATTTGTCGATAATAATAAAAGAAGAGTTTAACTCCTAAACTGCAAATATTTTTTTCGCAAAATAAATAATACAAAAATGTTCCATTTATTAAACTATATACTCCTAGCTGCAGAACTGTAGCGTTATGGTTTTATATATTAGTGTTTGACCATGGTCAAAGACTAATATATATAGAGGATATCAAAAAATTCTGTCTCACGAGTGAAATAAATTCCATATTCATCTACAAAACATTGAATTTTCTGTTTATTACATTTTCTTAGATTTTTCCCTTTGCCTAGAGCTGTCGTTACGTAACACAGTGTCATAGGCTGTGACGTCACAGTTTAGCGGTTGAGACGTTATTAATAGCTAAGCGCCTGCGAGATTGAAAAACGTTGTAAACATGGATTTTTTACGGCACATGTAACAGGCCAGGGATTTTTTTAAAAACGAAGAATCGTGAAAGGAAGGAAAGTTTTGCCGCACTTCTGATATTCTCACACTGTGAGAATACCATTTTGATATCCTTTCACACCGTGTCAGAATATCACTTTTAT